ATTCAGAGCTGAAATTCAGTTTAAGGACATCTTAAAAATCTGCAAGAATCTTTAATCTTTACAGCTTAATGAAAGTTGGGAATTTCTGACTGAGAGAAGGGAATCCAAAATTGTAGCTAATTTTTACTATTTATTTTTTTGTGCTGCTGGGAATTGAACCAAGGGTCTTGCACATGACAGGCAAGTGTTCTGCCACTGAGCCACAATCCCAGCCCAAATTTTGCTTATTTTCTTAATTATTTCACTCACTTATCATCTAATCATTCATCCACAGCAAGGCTTGAGGGCCAAATTCAGCCCTCAGCTTGTTTCAAAGTTTTACTGGAAAATAGCCATACTCATTTGTGCATGTTTTTTTTCATCGTGCTTTCATGCAAAGTTGAATCACTACAAACAAACCACATAATCGTCACAGCTTAAAATATTTAAAATCTGTCCCTGCACAGAAAAGACTTTTTACTTTCTGCAGACTTCTCTTAAATTTCATGAAGACACAAGATACATGTCAGTGGGACCAAAACCACTGGATTGGATCACATTCCCTGCTCTACATCACTGTCTGGTCACTCATCTGTCTTACAATGTGACTTTCCTAGAAATCTGTTTGAAATCCCAGTTTCTTTGAAGGGCACACAGAGAGGTGTGGAGCGGCCTCCTCTAAACAGTCACCTTGGGATTACATGAGTACTCGAAACTCACAGGGTCAGATGGTTAAATCCCACAGTTCTCAATGTGAATGCTCTTGCCAAAAGTCGAACATGAGTAAAAATCACTCCAATTGCTTCTTCAAACTCAGTAAGTTTCTGTAGAACTGGGGAAGTTTCAATAAGCTGTCGATCAGTATTTGGCTCTTGTAGCTATAGGAAAATAGAAATAAAAAATAATATGCAACCTTTGATTATAAGACTAATTATCAATTCTAGGGCAGCGTTTTATAAAATTCTGTCTCCCAGGGGCAGAAATTTCTGAAATGCCAATAAAACATGGAAGCTTCTTTCTCATGTCTTAGAATGGCAAACAAACCTAATATTTAAAGAAGGATCAAGTAATATTTTCCAATCTTCTATCAAATTTCAAGGCCAAGTACTGTACACAGAGAGTTCAAAATCTCTAGTATTATACTAACTCTCCAAGGAAGATACAAGCTGAAGAACAGGTGATAAGAGAACATATATACATATATGTTCTCTCTCTCTGTATATATATATGTTCTATATACATATTTACTACATATATATATACATATATGTGTGTGTGTGTGTGTATGTGTGTGTGTAGTAAAGCAGCAGTTCTCAAACTTTAGCATTCATGAGAATACTTGTTTGTAAAAGGCAGGTGGCTGGACCTTCCCCCTGGAGTTACTGATTTCATATACCTGGTGTGAAGACTGAGAACTTGCCTTTCTGACAGCTTCCCAGGGGATGTGGATGCTGCTGGTTTGAATACTGCCCTTTCAGACCCACTTTAGAGTAACTTGAATACTGTGTGTATTGTAGACACCAAACTATTTTGGCAAATAGGCACCATTAAAACTGAATTTAGCTTACACCGGAGATTATACCACTAGACAGGTGGTGTTTTAAATAACCATGAGTCTTTAACAACTGGCAGAGAGCAAATATAAAAAGTGCCATTAAAATGAACATTTTTAACAACTTTAGGTAATCTCCTATTATTAAAAATATTTTTAAAGTACTCTGAATTAATGTCATTTCTTACTGTAAAGCCTCTCATGAGAGTTCAACCACTACCGATTATCCTTATTTTTTATTTTATATGCAGATTCATATGTAAAGATGTATATAAATTAATATACATGCATAAATTCCAAAGTAGAAGAGAAATACAAGCAAAGAGTAGTAGGAATTTTTAACTGAGGAAAAGCATATCACCATTGCAGATCTTTTAAATTCTTAAATCCTGAGTAAAAAGCCATCATATGGTATTAAATTTTTAATCTGCTATAAATTTTATGCTGAGTCAAACGTCTCAATTTCTAAAATCCAAATTAGGTTTACAATTTAGCCAATGTTGGTTTAGTATTTGTTATACTTTTTAAATATGCCCAGATTTGCTTCCCTTCAATGGCATGTATGCGGATACAGGCGTTAACACAGTATGCTTTGCCTATCACTACACAGTAGCTCTTCCTGCCTTGTGAGGGAAGACAAGCCCTATGCTTTCCAGACCACATGCACATGATATATGGGTACATTTTACTATTTATTCCAAGTTTTCCCATCTGGCACCCCAGCTTACAGTTATAATGACCCCCCCCAAAAAAAAAAAAGAGCAAAGAAAAATAAAAGGAATAGCTAGAGTTCTAAAGCTCACTGCAGACAGGAAGGTCTATTTACCTGGAGTGGGTGGAGAGGATAATTCAGCCAGACTTCTCGAAGGTCCTGGAAAACGGAGTGATGCCTTTAATGCTCAAAGAAACCATTTAATACACTCTAGAGTACTAAACAAAAATGTCATTATTTGAAATACTGAACTATTTCAGATGCTGACTCCACTTACTACAAATTCAATAGTGCTAGCAACCTAATTTTTTAAAAGTGTATTCACCACTCAAACTGCCTGTAGTGGCTCTAATTAGCCTATTAAGCTGGGGAAGAAAAGTCTTCCCCACCCCCAGAAGTCAAAGACACCTTTTAAAGCTAAGTTACACATTTGCTTAACCTAATACAGTAGATTAAGCTGCTGCCTTATTCATAGTTTTAAAACCACCATTCCCCAGAAACGTGCATCAGCTATGCTTTGTGTAAGTAAAACGTGCTTCATAAGTATTTATTGTAGCACATGGCTGTTTTAAAATGGAGTGGGAAACACCCCATTCTAGTTCATAAACTAGACGTCTATGACATCACACTTTTACTGTGGGTCACAGAAATGTGCACTTGAAATGTGGACATAAATGAATTTTATGAAACACCCTAGTATGTTATTTCATTCATTAGCGATTATTCTTACTTATTTTAGACACATATCTATATATAAAGATGAGTGTAGATGAATATACATATACATATATCCCAAAGTAAAAGAAAGTAAAAGCAAAGAATAGTAAGAATTTATAACTGAGGAAAGTACATCCCTATGCATAGATCTGATTTAAAAAGCCATCATAAGGCATCAAACTTTTTACTTAGGTAAATAATAAATTCAGCTAAATCCAGGGGCAGTTATAACTGGAACCTCCTCAGGATTAAGGTGATTTTCCTTAATCCTGACCCTTTCTCAAAGCTCAGACTCTAAGAAGCCTCTGACCAAATCAACTTTCTGGCCATGATGTCAGGTTTCAGAAATAAATGAAAATAAAAATTTTAAAAATCAGGAAAAACTTCTTTTGTGAGGTTTTTTTGGGGGGGAGGGAGAGAAGTAGAGATAAATTTAGTATCACTTGTAATATACAGGATGAAAGTGAAATAAAAAACCCAGTTATTTCTGTACAAGTTGCATCTTAACAAAACATAGGTGTTGTCAACATTTTTAAAAAAGAGCTTATCAAACTATTCTTCAAAGGAATATAAAAGGACTTTTCTAACCAAGTCAATAACCTTTCTTGTACATCTCTGAATGTTAATCTCTTCTCACAACTTCCTTGTGTTCTCTCAATGCTTTGCTGTCTTTCCTTCCATACTCTAGGAGGAAATTTACCAAACTCTAGCCCCTTGTCTAACTTCATCACAGCTCATCTGGAGAGGTCCATTGTTCTTACTGTTTTAATTATTATTTAAGTCTGGATTATTACCTTTCTGTGACAGCACTGACCTCTCATCTAAATCTATAACTCTGAATGCCTTATGGGCATTTTGCCACACAGACAACATGACTAGATAATAACTTTTAACCTTAAGCTGGGGAGTATGCAAGCAGGCTCTAACCCCAGTTCCCAGGAGGTGGGGCAGGTGGAGAGGAATGCAGAAGCCACAACCACAAAGTAAACTTGGCAGCCGTAATGGCAAGAGACTGGCAGACCCAGTCACAGGATAAGCCACAGTCCTCATAAACCTTAAATCCAGAGGACATCTGGTGTGACAGTGAATTCCTCCCACATGGCAGGACACCACAGGAGAAGAAATACATTTTGTTGCTCCCCATATCTCAGAGTGTTACACCAGGTACAATCCCGAGAGAGGGACTACACTTTGAGCAACTCTGGAGACCTGAAAAAAAACAACTGCAACTAGGGGAGCCTAGAGATCTACTCCCATCCCATCTGGGTGAAAGACAACAGAAGCAGTTGTGGAGAAGGTCCTGAGTTCAAACTCTAATACTAGGAAAAATAAAATTTTTATATTTTTATTCTTCTTGCCTTTACCTAATTTTATTTATGTATATTTTTATCTTAGAATTGATTGTATCTTTTGCTCTTCTCACATTCTTCTTTTAACATTGTTTCTTTTTTCCCCTTCCCCATTATCTCATTCATTCATTATTATTA